ATCGCATGATCGATCTCATAAAATGCTCCACTTATTGGGGCCTTTCTTTGGTGTAATTTTCTTCTGGGACGGGTCCGCGGTTCCTCTTGGGATTTCGTTTGTACCTTGTTTCTCCGTCCGGGCTCTCCAGGGACGTCCTTATCGAGGATGGTCAAGCGGGGGTGCATCTCGAAGGACCTCGACAAATAGCCAGTGCAGCTTACGTTGACAAGCGTTTCGCAGTCGGCCACGATCGCGACGAGGCTGCCGCGTCTCTGCAGACGATCGCCTCTGGTTCTGAGGCAGAAAGTCAGGAGCGAAAGAAGGACGTACGCGTACATGAATCCACGCTGGTTTCGAGAGTTCGCATTGCGCGATTGTTCGTATCACACGGCCAGTCTCGCGGGTCAAAGGGGCCGTGTTCATGTACATAGCTGGGCGCGTACGTCCTTCTGTGGGCTCCCTTAGAACGGGGCTGGTCGTCTACGAGCTCGAGGAGGGGACCCGCCGATGGTTCTCCCCTGGATCATGGAGCTCTTGCCAGGCACTCGTCTGAGCATCAAGAAGCGTAACATTTGGAGGCTTCGTCGAGTCTAGGCATTGAGGAGTTATTATTATTGTTATTATTGTTGATCAGTCCTCGTCGTTGCAGTGGGGCGCTGGTGCATCTCGAAGGACCTCGACAAGTAGCCAGTGCAGCTTACGCTGACAAGTGTCTCGCAGTCGGCCACGATCGCGACAAGGCTACCGCGTCTTTGCAGACGATCACCTCTGTTCTGAGGTAGAATCCTCCTCCTCCCCCCCCCTCCTCCTCCTCCTCCTCCTCCTCCTCCTCCTCCTCCTCCTCCTCCTCCTCCTCCTGCATTTGTCATGAGGGGCTGGTCGTCTACGAGCTCGAGGAGGGGCCCGCCTACTGTTCTCCCCTGGATCGTGGAGCTCTTGCCAGGCACCTCGTCGAAGCATCAAGAAGCGTAACATTTGGAGGCTTCGTCTGGGCATTGAGGAGTTGATCAGTCCTCGTCGTTGCAGTGGGCTCCTCCTCCTCCTCCTCCGCCTCCTCCTCCTCCGCCTCCTCCTCCTCCTCCTCCTCCTCCTCCTCCTCCTCCTCCTCCTCCTCCTCCTCCCCCGCCTCCTCCCCCTCCACCTCCTCCTCCTCCGCGCTGGTGCAGGTCCTTGTGGGCCATACCACGTGGGCATGTCCATGGAAGAGGGTGGCCCTGGTGGTGCTCGACGCCTGCTGTGCCTTCATCGTCGGTGATCCCGCTGAGGTCGTGGGTGCGTGGCCGTCCGTGCTGCGCGAGCTCTGGATGATGCGACGCCTTTTTGCCGCTCCCGTGCTGTAAGCTCTCCGCGTGCTGGCATCCCGTGGCTTCCTTGCTCGGGCGCCTCCACCTCGGGCGCCGGAGGAAGCGGCAGACACAAGGAGCGAGGGAGGTGCAGAGGTGCTCAGGCTCGAAACCGTCGGGGGCGGAGAAGAGGGGGGTGATGACTGAGGGGGGGTGGATATCATGGCGGGGGCCATGATATTTCCCCAGATTTCATGGCGCCCCTTCTTATTTCATTACGTCCCTGCCCCCCCCGCTGGGCCGCGCACATGCCGCCGGTCATGATTTGCACCCCCCCCTCTTGGACACCCCCCTCTTGGCCGCTCCCGAAGCCGAGCTCCGGGCGCAGATCCACCGGGTACGCCGTCGCATTCGTTGCCCTTGTCGTCGTCGTGTTCATCAGCTGGCTCTGGGGGCCCCCTGGCAGGCCTCGAGGGGTCCGACAGTGGGCCCACCGTCGCGGCTGCTGCGTCCGACGAGGTCCCGGGGGCGATCCTGGAGAAGAGGGCCTGGGAGGTCTTGCTCTCGTCGAAGGTCGTCGTCCCGGCGAACATCCTGCAGCTCGAGGGGGATTGCAAGCACATGCTCCGGTCCCTGGGCGCCCGTGGGCCTCGCGCCCTGGTCCTGGTCGATCACATGCCGCTGGCCCTCGGGGCCACCAAGGCCAGAGCCTCCTCTGAGCACCTCCACCGGGCCCTGAGGAAGATCGTTGCCCTGTCCTCGGCCACGGGGACCAAGCCACAGGATCGGTGGTTGCCTAGCGAGTTGAACCCGACGAGCCCTTTCGGGGCCACAGCGGCTGGTTCGTGGGCCCGTACCGCGGCCACCGCGCGGCCTAAACATGCAGGGCCGAGCGGAGCCTCCTCAGGCAGCGCGGCCGCTAGCCTGTCGCCCAGCCGCGCGGACGCCAGCGCTGAACGCTCGCCCCCGGCCTCGGCGGTCTCGCTGAGGGAGGCGAGGCCGCCGACTGAGCGCCTCACCCTGCTGCGGCACGTGGCGGTCTCGTCGCGCACGGAGACCGCGTGCCTGCAGCTGCTGCAGGGCCTCGTGGACTTCCGCAGCCATGCGGGCATGGAGTGGTCCGGCATGGCGGGCCTCGATCGGGCGGCGACCTCGTGCATGGACAGGCTCTACCTGGGCGGCCACCTGCCCGACAAGGGCAGCAAGCTCTTCGCAGCCCTGGTGCACTTCGCGCCAGAGCTCCACGAGGTGTTGAAGGTCCAGCTGCCAAGGTCGTCGAGGGCGTGTGCGTTTTGAAAGGACAGGTTCCCCGGCTCCCAGCGCCTGCCCCTGCCCAAGGTGGCGGAGCCGGCCATCGCCGGGGCGCTACGTTTCCCGCGGCGGCCCCGAATGGCAGTCTGGATCGCGCTGACCTGCATGACATACGTGCGGCCCACGGAGGCCTTCCGTCTTCGGCCAGCCCACCTCATCGCGCCCTGCCCGTCGGCAGGCCCACAGCACGTGCATTTAGGGGGTCCTGAGCAACGGCTCGGGCGGGGAGGCCAGCAGGACTGGCGAGTGGGGCGGCTCCGTCACCATTGACCTCGATTTCTGGCTTCTGGATGCGCTGGCGGCGCTGAAGGCCGACCAGGCCTGCCTCTGGGACTTCGCGCCCGCCTCGCTGCGCCGGGAGTTTTAACGGTGCGCCCAGCTCCTGAAGCTGACGCCCTCCAAGCCGCATCTCTACAGTCGGGGCCCTGAAGAAGGAACCCTTTTCGTTGGGGAGGGGCTCCGCGTTCCTTAAGTGTTTCACAGCTTGCCTCAGGTTTTCCTTATGTTTTCGATGGGAAATCGAAGTTTAACTCATGGAAAAAAAGGGCCTCGTTCCTTATTTAGGGTTCCTTAGGTCAAGACCCTCACTGTACTGCCTGCGGCACGGCGGGGCGTCGGACGACCTCGCCACAAAGAGGCGCACGCCCGCCGGAGTGGAGGGCCGCGGCCAGTTGCGAGACCCGCGCAGCCTTCGGAGGTACGGGAAAGAGACCCGGCGGTTCATGTAGATTGCCAAGGTCCCGCCCGCGGTCTACTCCTTCGGCCAGGTGGTCCAGGAGAACTTCTCGCTCGTCCTCCAGTCGCAGCTGCGGGTCGGCGCCTCTGGCTGAAGGCCCGAAAATGGACATCGGGAGCAGCCTCGAGGCAACCCGCATGGGCGCGGGCATTGTCCCCGACGTCACGGCCTTGGCCCAGCGGTGCCGACGCAGGCGCTGAGCTGCTCGGACGTCGAGGCCGCCGACGTACCTGCACGGCATTTTGCAGCAGGAAAGTCGGACGGCTACCATGTTCAAACGCTGCATCTTTCTGGATAACCCCAGGAAGCATTTAAGAACCCCCCCCCCTCCGGCAAATCGATAACCCTTCCGCACCATCATCCATATCCGCATCATCATCATCATCATCATCATCATCATCATCATCATCATCATCATCATCATCATCATCATCATCATCATCATCATCATCATCATCATCATCATCATCATCATCATCATCATCATCATCATCATCATCATCATCATCATCATCATCATCATCATCATCATCATCATCATCATCGTGTCCGGGTGCTACAGCTATCGTTCGGTTATTTCGGCCCTTCGGAATATCGAATAAAAAATGCGGTGCTACGATATCGCCGGGGGGGTTCTTAAATGCTTCCTGGGGTTATCTTCTCAGGTTGCAGTCCTCTGTCGGGTGCCCTCAGGAAGCAAGGGGCACGGGGTCCTCTCCCTGGACATCAACGAAGGTCTCTCGGGAGGCCGTGGCCGGGCCGTGCGCGAGGAAAGCTCCGGAGGGATGGCTTCGGTCCTGGGTTGTGATCGGCATATGGCTGGGTACGCCGTGCAGTTCCCTCGGCAGAGCGCTCTGGAATCCTTCGAGTTCCACGGAGCTTCCTTGGGGGATCCCGGAGCTCTCTGAGGCCGAACGGGCCCGTCGCCAGTCCGGTAACGCTGTTTTCCGGGCCAGCATGAAGATCGTGCAGGCCGCCATCGCCGTTGACTGCCACTTGTTTTTGGAGAACCCGCGTGCATCTCAGATATGGTCCATGCCTGCGCTGGTCCAGTTCGCCAAGCAACCATCCTTCGTGACTCACAAGGCTGATTTCTGTCAGTAGGGAACCCTTTGGAAGCAGGCAACTTCGATAGATCTTGGAATGCGCCGCTCGTGCCCACGCTTAACAAGCGTTGTCATACCAAGAACAACAGCTGCACAGGCACAGGTAAACCTCAGATTATCCTCGCTGGTGTCGCCCCCGGAACTAGTAAGCATTGGATTGAGGTGAGTACCCCATATCCCACTAAGGTTGATTCGGCTGCCGCCTCCGCTCTTGTAGAAATAACAGAGTCTTTCCAGACCGCCAGGTTTTGGCAAATTGCCGGGGTGTCTGAGGATTTTGGTCCCGCTCAGAGCCAGAGTTAAATTCTCCGAGGTCTGGGGGTGTTGCCAGTTGCACCTGTGGGATCGGGATTTTATTTCAATGTTTTCGGCCGGTGCCTGTCTCCCTGGTGCGCAGACGCTAGCCCCCGCACTCTGCTGGTGCTCGCTGCCTCGCGTGCCTTCACAAAGTAACATCGTTTGGCCGCGGGGGGGCCTGGGAAGTGCTGTGCAGTTTTCAAAACAGGAAGCAATGAACGAAACGGGAGCGGCCGCGCGGAATCTGCCGCCGTCCTTTCTCAAGCTCCCACCATCCATTCCCCTGCCCTATCTTCCTTGTTTCTCTTCCTTCTAAGCTCTCACTTTCCTAGATCACGCTTGAAAAACTTTCTGGTGTCGTTTCGGCCAGTGTTGGCCTCGCGGCTGCACTCGCTAGCCCCCGCACTCTCTTGGTGGTCGCTGCCTCGAGTGCCTTCATAAAACAATATCGTTTTGCCGCGGGGGAACCAGAGAAGCGTTACTCCTCCAACTCCTCCTCCTCCTCCTCCTCCTCTTCCTCCTCCTCCTCTTCCTGTTCCTCCTTCTCTCCTCCTCCTCCTCCTCCTCATCGTCCTCTTCTTCATCAACATCAGCATCATCATCACCCTTCTTCTCCCTGTATCCCTTTCCTCTTCCTCCTTCTCCATTTCCGTTTTCTTGTTAAGAATGTCTTTCCATGTCTTGCTCATTTCCTGCTCTTCCTTCTTCTGTCCGCTACCAGCACGTCCGATCATTCGGCGAGGAGGCGTTGTTTTGGGCGGGCGGCTCTGTCCCTCCATCATTCCTCCCTGTTCTGACGGTTCCGACCCATCAGAGACGCTTGTTTCTTCACCGAAATGCAGCGGCACGAGGAATGCGGTGTTCAAGCGTACAGCGCCGTGCGGAAGGGAGCTTCATATGTTCTCACGGGTTGGTTTTCCTCCCTCGTTTTCTCACGGGGTGCACGGCTGCCGGTGGCCTCGCGTTCTCACTTTCTCGCGGGATGGTTTTCCCCCTCCACCTCTCGCGAAACGAACCGCGCTGGACACCAGGCTTCCTGACGGGATGCACGGCTGCCTCGGAGGCACACCGCGGGGAGGAGGGGGGGCCGTGAGTGCGCCGCCGCTCCGCTCCCCAGGGCTGCTCTTCGTCGCCAGCGGCGTGGTGCTGAGCCTCCGCCCGACCAGCCGAGACCGCGCCAGCCCACGACCTCCTCGCACGGGAGCCTCGGACCCCTTGGCACCTCTCGGGAGGAGGAGAAGCTACCGATACCGCTGCCCCGCTCTCGTTGTCGCTGTTGTGTGCCTCCTGGGAGGCCCTCGTCGCCACGGCTGGATTCGCCTCGAAATTCTGGTCTGAACGCAGCCTTGGAGAGGTCCAGGTCGTAGCGGTATCGGTGCCTTTGAATCTGCGCACTTGTCGGTGGTTGCGCCACGGTTCTGGGCCGTGTGCTGGGCCGCGGCTGGAGTCTCCACCGGTGGGCCACGCTGACTTTCGGCAGTTCCTCATCGGTGATGCCCGCCTGCAGAGGTTCTGTGACCTGGGCGGAGAGTGTCTCGCGGAAGTCGAAATTTCTTCGCGATGCGGCCAGGGAGGCGTAGAATCTCCGTTCCAGCTAAACATTGTCAGTGCCCGTCTTGGTTGGCCCGATCTAGTCCAGTCCAGTGCACCCCATTCAATCTCAACCCAGGTCATCATAATCCAGTGTAGGCTTCATCCGCCAGCTCGCCAGCTCAGACTAGCCTGGCCCGGTCCAGCCCATATAGTCCCTATCAGCAAACTGGCACTCATCACGAGGTCCAGTCCAGTGCAACCCAGCCCTCCAGAGAGCCCAGGGAGGTAACTCGATCATGTTCATGACGCGTACGTGTCGTGCGTATATGAAGTATGCACAAGGGCGTCGCCCATTGCTGCCACCTCTCCTTGCTGGCTTGTAAGTCGGTTGGCAGGCTGCTGATTGGCTGGGAGCTTGGCTTGCTGCCTGCTTACTTATTTGTCTGGTTGGCAAGTGGGTTATCCAAGTGCCTGGCTGGTTGGTTGGGGCACAGCTTGGAATGAGGATGAGGGAGAGGGCCAGCTGAACGGCGTGGGAATCCGAATCATCAGTCGCCTCTTCTTCCCCCACCAGCGTGGTGGTGATCTGGCGCTCGGGACTGCACTTTTTGTCAGGCGACCCCCCTTCCGCACAATTTGAGCACCCCGCTTACCAGTTTCACTTGGCAGCGCCACCCGCGTGCGCACCACCGTGGGAATGCTTTGTATCATACGCTTGCAGGGCCGCGTGTATGGAACATCATGCATGTAGCACAAGTGCAACGGTGGCTTCCCTTCCCCCCCACACACCCTTCAGATCATCGCAGTGGCTCTGGGTCAACAGTTAGCGCGACTCTGGTAGAACAGCTTTTGCACAGTGCGATTCGCAACGTGACGTGTCTTAGCCACTCTCGCGGCCCTCGTGGGACCCTGCTAGCATGGGCTCGCCTCCCCCCCAGTCTCCAAGCCCGCCCCCTAACAGATACCCGAGAGTTACCCAACATCTTCTCCACGCGAGGCGACTGTGTACACGAACCCCCCTTATGAAAAAAACACGCTGCGGTGGCAATATACTCCGCTGGACCTCCGAGAGCCCACGAACGTGGCGACAGCTGCGCAGGTGGCAGCATTCCAGGGCGTCGCGAGGTCTCGCCTGCCGACCGCCTCCGCTGGAATTTCTAGGAGCCTACGGAAGTAGCGACATTTGCGCAGCTGGCAGCCCCCCAGGGAGTCGCAAGGGTTGAGTGATGACAGCGGCCACGGAAGTAGGGGATCGAGGAGACAGGAGGCAGAAGAAGGAGGAGGAGGAAGCGGAGGAGGAGGCGCGCGAGCAGTGCTCTAGTCAAAACGGGACCCCAACACAGGAAGGTGTGAACTAGAGCAGGATGCAGCAGCTGGGGGGGCGAAGGGGCGGAGGAGGAGGAAGAGGAAGAGGAGGAGCAGTGTACACTCAAGGCCCATCAACGATGTTGAAATAAATCCTCCCCCGAAGCTCCCTCTACACGGGCGCCTGCAAGGCTTCATGTCCATTGAAGGGCTAGCCCCAATGGGGGGCTCCCGTGTGAAAATCCTGAAGCGCACCAGCACGCCATTGTGTGGATTCAAACGCCACGGGTCATACTGACTGTTGCGCCTCGGCTACCCTGAATTCTGCCAGAACACCATTTCTGGTGTTAAACACCTCGAACCAACGTAACCATTGAGCCTTGACAACCCTGACTCGCTCCGACATGGTATTGCTGGTGCGTGAGCCATGGGAATACTTGACGCCCCTGCAACTGTTTAAGGCAAGTGTGTGCGGCGCCGAGCCGAGAGCCACACATTGAGCAGGAACCGCCCTCAATCCGTGGAGCTCTCGCAATTTGTTGAGGCGAATGTGCGCGGCGCTGGGGCTAAACCAACATTTTGAAAACGACTAGCCCTCCATCCGTGAAGCTCTTGCAACGTTTTTGCGCGAGTGCACGCGGCGCTCAGGCGAACACCACATTTTGGAATCGGCCCGCCCTCAATCCGTGAGACCCTTGCAGAGTTTAAGGCAATTGTACGGTGGCAAGGCGAGAGCCGCATTTTGGAAACGACCCACCCTCAATGTGTGAAGTTCTGGCAAATGTCTAGGGCAAGTGCGCGCGGCGCTGGGGCAAGAACCACATGGTGAAAGCGACCCAGGCGAGGCGACGTGATGGGGAGCGCGGTGTTTGAACCAAGACATGGTACCAGCCGCAGAAGGGTTGGGGAAACCATGCCCCTCAGAAAAGACGGGACATTGGCATACACCCATATGGTGCTACTCCGAGTCACCCCTTTCGAGGATGGTTGCCCCAGCAAGCATCGATGACAACATGTACACAGGTTAGTAAGTATTCTGTTCACCTTTGACCGCAGGATGCTGCTCCCATCACGCTCGTCTCCGCGCTCCCGCTCCACATGCTGGTACATTTACAAGGTATGTGCATCGGTGTCCATACATACAGACATACATACATACATACATACATACAAACGCACAAACATAAATACATACATACACACATCCATACATACGTACATACATACATACATAAGTGCATGCATGCATGCATACATACTCACATACATAAACACCTACATACATGCATATATCCATACATACGTACGTACATACATGCCTGCATGCATCCATACGTACGTACATATATGTGGACCTCCATAACTGTATACGTATGTATATCGTTATGCCCCTGTCTGTATTTCCACCTCCTGTAAAGACAGATCCAGAGTTCTTTCTCCCACTCTGGCACGGCTCCTGCTACGCACCGTGTGTTGCCTCATTCCCGTTCCCCCCCCCCCCCCCGCGGGCGGAGGTATCAGCACATTGCGCCGCATAGTGATTATCCGATGAGAATTTGGTTAACACTTATCTTGGCGACGATGCTGCCCCTGGCGTATATTGACATGGTGATACCAGGAGCCCGGGAGGGCCATTGCCATTGTAGCGAGTCAAGTGCGCCTTCATTATATACGTTTTCAGAAATGTTGCACAGGCATGGAGTTAGAGAGGGGCAACGAACATCAGGGCGTGACACATGACAGCAACGTGAATGGAGGCGGCAATACCGTTCTTGTTGTCGTAACTCCTTTAGTATGCATTCAGCTGGATGGATGTATCCGCAGTGGACACTGCCTGCATGGTTGACCGCAGGGGCCCCAGGTTATAAAGTGCTTGTGCTGCATAGGAACAGGCATGGGTTTGGAGGTTGTGGTGACCCGCTTGGGTTATTGCGCAAGGACAGCGTCTGAATATTTACCCTCGCAACCAATCGACCGCGTGAGCTGCAGATGCTGGCCGCGTATGCTGTCGAAGCGGCCAGTTCGCGGAATCATGACATGAATTGTCCATCTTGTTGTTCCCCCAGTTCTTCTTTCTCTTCCCTCTTCCTCTTCCAGTTCCCCTTCCTGCCCATCAACTCATCATCCACAATCCGTCTTCCGTCTCGTCGTCCAGCTTGGCTGGCCCAATTTGGAAGTTGCGAGGGAGCTTGTCACACTCGATCGCTTCTCCATCGACCGCGGAATTGGACAACCAATGTATTCCTCAGCGCAGGGCCTTGTTACATGACGGGAAGGGTCCTTGAGGCTTGGGCAGTGTTTGTTCGTGTAGGTGAACGTGTTCCCCCAGATGTCTGTCATGTGCTGCTGCTGCAGATTTTGGGTGCCATCTCGCAGCGCGCCGCGCGTGCCCTCTAATGACACCTGACGGTGTGCGCCGTTGCCATGTGAATCGTTGAGTAAAAGATGTGTGCGGTTGTGCTCGTTATAAGCGGGAGCGTCATAGGTACGGTGCCGCATCTGACGAGTGTTCGGCGCATTGGGTCGTGGGAGGTCCTGGGATCAAATACCGTTTCTAACGGAACTTGCGACGTGTTCTGATCTGGTCCGTCCTTGAGGGGGGGGAGCAAGGAATGTTCATGCTGAGTGATGTGTCCTTCAAGACCGAGGTGCTCGAGACGCCCATGGGAACCTGACAGGGAGAGCTTCCCTGGACGGCTTCGAGGGGCGTATGTGTCTGGGCTGTTTTGGGCTATCGTGGACCGTCTTCGGGCCACCATCGCACTTTATTGGAGCTTCTTGAGGTCATCTCTGGGCAATCTTCAGGCCTGGCGCCGATTCGCCCGACCTCTTGGGCCGCTCTTTTGCCCTCTTGGGGCCACCTCGGAGGCCGAGAGTCTCATTGAGGCCGCACTGTGGCCCCAACGGGCTTCTCGGTCTCGGGCTTTCTCGTGGCTGTGTTTTGTGTGCCATCTTGCCTCTTCGGCTGCCGCAGAGGCAAGGTGGCAAACAACAACGCCAACGACTACACGTAATTCACTGAGCTTCTCAGAGGAAAGGGTTTTCAGGCATTCTTGGCCAGCTTGGTGTCGGGTATGCTGGCTTTGGCTATCCTAGCATGTGGGCAGCAGGTTGGGGCCATCTTGGGGCCAGCATGAGGCCTGACACCCATTGACCCTCGCTCTTGGCACGAGCCTTGGCGCGACTTCGGCCCCCGTTGTGTCCACATACCCCCTAGGAGCGCCCTCGCGCGAGCGGCCTGTATATAATACAGTCGGGGCCCTGAAGAAGGAACCCTTTCCGTTGGGGAGGGGCTCCGCGTTCCTTGAGTGTTTCGCAGCTTGCCTCAGGTTTTCCTTAGGTTTTCGAAACGAAATCGGATTTTAACTGATGGAAAAAAGGGGCCTCGTTCCGTATTTAGGGTTCCTTGGGTCAACGCCCCGATTGTACACCGGGCGGCTGGGTCCCCGGGCCCAGGGGCCCCACACCTTTCCAAAACTCCCCCCCCCCCGTACCAAACTTTCGTCCATGGGGCCGGTGGACCCTCTTCATCGCTCCGAGCGACTTTCCACGCCTCCAGGGGCCTCCAGGACAGCCCCAGAGATGCGAAGGGGCCACCAAGACGGAACAGCATGGCCAAAGAGGCTCCTAAGTGGCCGCACGCTGGCCAGAAGAGACCCCGAGGACCGCGCGGACGAGTCCGACAGGGCCCGCGAAAGGGCCTCAAGAGGCGAATTTGTTGACTAGTCGAACAGGATTCTGGCTCCAGGGGGAGTTCAAGAGGGCCCCAAGCGGCTTAAATTCGAGAACATATCGGGACACCACACGTTTTGAAGATCTCATTGTTTCGCTTCCAATGGGCTTCTGGGGCCTCTTCTGGATGGTCGTCAGACGGCCCAAGCCTGCCCCAAGAGGGCCCCACAGGACCACAACACGGCCCCCAGAGCGCCCCAGAGTCCCCCACGACGGCCCCAGAGACCGTCCAGAGTGCCCCTCAGACGGCTTCTGAAAGCGTCAGGCGGGCCAAGAGCGCTTCAGGTGAGCCCGAGGGAGGCCCAAGACCGTCCACCAGAGACCCGTGGACCCCTCAGGATGGCCCCGAGACGGCCCAAGACGGTTCCAAGACGGCCCTCGAGGCCGCCAAGATAGCTCCAGATGGCCCGTAGACGGCCCCAAGATGCCTCCCAAGACGCCACCCAGCGGCCTCCAGGGCGGTCAGGTCCTTGGAACACTGACAGAGAACTACGGGTGTCTGAAGACCTCGCCTCTTCTCTTCCGATGTGCCTCTGAGGCCTCAGGATAGTCCAAGAATGGCTCCACAGGAACCCGCGAGCCGCGAGCAGTAAAACAGCATGAGGTAGGAGAGACGCGCGATAAGGGAGGGACAGCAAGCGGAAGGGAGGAGCCAGAGGGAGGAGCAAGTAGAGGGGGAGAGGAGACGGAAGATGTATTGAGGAAGGCGAGCACGCAATCGGAGGAGTGCGACCAATATCTCAAACAGCTCGAAGCACTTGCAAGACAGGCGTGGCGATACGCATCCATTGTGTCGAGACGTTGACCTCTGCTGCGCTAGAACCTAAGCGCGCGCGAAGCGCGCGTGGTTCTAGCGCACTTTTTGTCAAACCTCCCCCCTCTGGGACGACCTTTTAGTCCCGGCAGGGTCCCGACTCTTTTCGGTACGCTTCTGGGCCGGGCCTGCTGTTCGGGGACCGCCAAACATCCCCCAGAGCGATCAGACAGCTGTCCCGAGCTATCCCGAAGACGGCCTCCACCAAGAAGCTGTCCAATCGACCTGAGAGGCCCCCAAGACGGCCCAAGAAGGCTCCAAGAAGACCCGGACGAGTGCCCCAAGAGATCAAACTTCTTTATCTTCCATGGGTGTTTAAATGACTGTTGCGTGGAAGCCTCTTCGGGCTTCCACAACGCTCCAAGACGACTCAAGACGCGCCCCAGAACCGCCCCGAGAAGGCCCAAGAGGCCCACAAGAAACCTTCAAGACGGCGTCAGAGGCCTCTTGTGCTTTCTTGGGGCGGTCTGGGGCGCCTCTTGCCAAGGGCATAAAAAAACGCCCCTACCCTGGTTTACGAGGCGCTGTGCGCTGAAACTCCTGTGGGCTGGCAGGGTAAACCCTGCGTGATGTGCCGCGTCCTGGCGGCTCTAGGCTTTGGGGGTTCCCAGGAGGTTTACAGACCACGCACTTGTAACCCAGGGTAGGGTCGTTTTTCATCCCTCAATCTTGAGCCGTCTTGAAGCGCTGCAGGCCCGGAAAAGCTGGAACGCAAGAATCAGTCAAGCTTCAGTAGAGAGTGACACGTGTTGGCCTCTCGGGGAACTCGTCGGGGTCTTCTTGGGGCCCTCTTGGGCCGTCTCTTGGGGGCCTCGTGGGCCGCTTGGGGTCTTCTTGGGGCCCTCTTGGGCCGTCTTTGGGGGCTTCTCGGGGCACTCGTCGGGATCTTCTTGGGACCCTCTTGGGCCGTCTCTTGGGGGCCTCGGGGGCCGCTTAGGGGTCGTCCGAGACCCCCTGGAGGCCGTCCTCGGGGCAGCCTCGGGGCAGCGTTGGGCCGTCCGGGCGGCCTCCCGACCGCTCTGGGGGCTGCGGGGCAGCCTCGGGGCAGCGTTGGGCCGTCCGGGCGGCCTCCCGACCGCTCTGGGGGCTGCTTGGCGGCTCCCCAACAGCTTGGCATCGCTCGGACGTGTGCATTGTTTCCTTCGGCGTGGACCATCGAGGAGCATCCTTGATCATTTGGCGAAACAACCACGCACGAAGCCGAAAAAGGCACAGGGAATGGACGTCCGAGCGATGGCCAGACAGCGGGCCTGGCCCAGAAGCGGCCCGACTGAAAGGAGGAGGGAGGAGGAGGGAGGAGGAGGGAGGAGGAGGGAGGGGGGACGAGGAGGAAGAGGAGGAGGAGGAGGAGGAGGAGGAGGAGGAGGAGGAGGAGAGGAGGAGGAGGAGGAAGGAGGAGGAGGAGGAGGAGGAGGAGGGAGGAGGAGGAGGAAGGAGGAGGAGGAGGAGGGAGCAGCGTGCTGTCCCTGGGCCCGGGGGAGCCCAGAAGCACGGGGCTTCTGAGGGCCTCGCCTCTGCTCTTCCAGTGTGCCTCTGAAGCTTCAGGATGGTCCAGCCATGGCTCCACGGGAGCCCGCGAGCAGGAATCGGGGGAGAAAAAGATACGGATACGTGTTGTCCCCCGTCGTTTTCGGCCTTTCCTGGTCCTCCTGGGGAATCCTCGTTGTCACCGCTGGATTCGCCTCGAAATTCTGGTCAGAACGCACCCCAAGAGAGGTCCGGGGACAACACGTATCCGTATCTTTCCGCCCCCCAAAGGAGAGTCGCATGAGATAGGAGAGAAGCGCGACAAGGGAGGGGATGGGGCAGCGAGCGGAAGGGAGGAGCCGGAGGGAGGAGAGTGCAGAGGGGGAGAGGAGACGGAAACTGTATTGAGGAGGGCGAGCACGCAATCGGAGGAATGCGACCAATATCTCAAACAGCTCGAAGCATTTGCAAGACAAGCGTGGCGATACGCATCATTTGTGTCGAGACGTTTGCCTGTGCTGCGCTAGAACCCAAGCGCGCGCGAAGCGCGCGCGTGGTTTCAGTATCTAGTCAATGGCCTTCGACACACCCCGCCACCGTGCCTGGGTTGCGGGTTTGAGGCCCCTTGGATGTTCGTTGGGATTTCGTCGAGGCCTCTCGGGGACCTCCTGGAGGCAGTTCTGATGCACCTGAAGGGGTTATTTTGGGGCCTCTCGGTTCTCTCGTGGCCTTTTGGGGAGCCTCTTGGCCTTTTGAGAGCCTCTTGGGGCCTCCTGGGCGCCTCTTGGGGCGGAAGGCTCGGATACTCAGTTCGTGTTACCCCCGCCCGGGCCCCACTTGTGTTCCCCCCCCCCCTGGGGCCCCACTTGGGGCCGTCTTGGGGCTCTCTTGGGCCGTCTGGGGCGTCTCTTGAGCAGTCTTGGAGTCGTCTTGGAGCCCTCTTGGTGCCCTCTTGGGCTGTCTTTGGGCCCTCTTTGGGGCCCCTGGGGCCGTCTTGGGGCGGTCTTGGGGCCTATTGGGACGTCTTGGAGCGTCGGAACCTCGACAAGTCGAGAACTCGTCTCTTGTCCCATCTGGAGACCCTCTTGGCCCCCAAGAAGTCATGCGGGAGCACACGACGCACCCCAGAGGGCTCGCGGGAAGACCCAAGAGATTTGAGAATTCGGGTCGGGAGCCTTAACATAGTCTTCAGGATTGAAGACTGAGCTCAGGGCTTGAGCAAGGGGCCTGGGGACACTCGACTTCCTGGCACAGAGGCACGGTGGCGGATCCAACTATAGGTAGACATGCACTTGTTTAAATGTATATTCAGGCATGAATCGATGTGTGTTTACACATATATTTATGTATATGATAAATGTGTTAATGTGTGCGTGCATGCGTATTCTATGCAATGTGAGCATATACACATGTGCATGGCTAGGTACATGCTTGTGCGTGCTCAACATGTCATCTACTTTCGTGCTGGTGGCTTACGTTAATCATGGGCTCAACCTCTTGTATATACACGTGTTGGCTTCATTTGGAACCGCTTAGGCGTGACCGGTTATATTTATTGCGATTTGGCCGCCGTAGTGATTGAAGGGGGTGCGCGTTATGATGTAGGAATTTCGTTATCGACGAAGTCGTTTCAATATTTGTACGTTGACGCAGGACAGATGGTGTTGCCACTCACGGGGCGACTGCAAGCCGATGGTGTCATAGTGCGTGTTGTTTCAAGGTGTGTGTCTACGTGCTACGCTGACCTAGCGCTCTGAGTATCGAAGACGCCTACGGCGAATCACCGCCGCCCCCCTCCCTTTGGAATCGCCCATGTGGCCGAGCGTTGTGGCAAGAGTTCTGCCAATCTATCGGGCCATGTGTTTCCCCAACCGTTGTGGAAAACTTTCGGGGAACACTTGGGGGAGAATGGCGGGGAAGATCAGCAGGTGGAGGAGGAGGAGAAGGAGGGGGAATCTTGGGAGCCTCTGGGGGCACTCTTGGGTCCTACTGGGAGCTTCCTGGGGGTTCTCTTGGAGGCATCTTGGGGGCCTCCGTGGGCCTCTTGGGGCCTTGGGGGCTTCTCGAGGGCTCTTTTGGCCGTCTTAAGGCATTCCTGGTGGCCCGTCTGACGCCGTCGGTCTTGGGGGCCTCTCTTGGCCGACTTGGGGCCCTCATGGGGTGCTGCAGGAAAGTCTTGGAGGCCATCTTCGGCGTCTTGGAGGCCTCCTGGGCCGTCTTGGGGACCTCGTGGGGCCGTCTTAGGGACCTCTGGTGCCGTTCTGACGCCATCCTCGAGGCTTCTTGGTCGGTCTGGGGGGATCATTGGCTCTTGGGCCGTCTCGGGCCGCCGGAAGTCCGACAAGAAGCAAACGCCAAAATTCTTTAACAACCTCGATGGAATCATTAGCTTCTTCGGGCCTTCCTGGAGTTCCTCTTGGAGGCCTCTGGGGCCGTCTTGGAGACCTCTTCGGGGCCTCTTGGGCCGTCTTTGTGGGCTCCTGGCCCGTCTGACGCCATCGGAAGCCCTCTTGGGGGCCTCTCTGTGCCGACTTGGGGCCCTCTTGGGGTGCTCCAGGGCCGTCTTGGAGGCCATCTTGCGCGTCTTGGAGGCCTCGTGGGACGTCTTGGGGACCTCTTGGGGCTGTCTTGGGGACCTCTTGGGCTATTCAAGGGCCATCTTGGAGGCCTCTTGGGCGACCTAGGGGCGATCTTTGGGGGCTTTGGGGCCGTCTCGGGCCGTCAGAAGGCCGAAACGAAGCAAATGCAAACAACCTGCAAACACCTCAGGGTTATCAATGAGTTTGGCCTCTGCGGGCCTTCCTGGAGGCCCTCTTGGAGGCCTCTTGGGCCGTCTTGGCGGCCTCTTGGGGGCCTGTTGGGTCTGTCTGCCGTCATCTTGAGGCCGTCTTGGAGGCTTCTTGGGCGATCTTGGCGGCATCTTGGACTCTCTTGGGCCATCTTCCAGACCATCCTGGACCATCTTGGGCGAACTTGGAGGCCATCTTGGCCGTCTTGGAGGCCGTCTTGGGCCATTTTGGAGCCATCTGGACCGGGAACATATTGGCAACCAACTCTTCCGCGTGGCTGGCGCTCTGGGCCGGAGCCCCAGGGGGAGTTTTTTATATAAAAATGAATGTAGCATGCCGCTGGCCTCTTGGGGCGTCTTGGCGGCCTCTCAGAGCCACCTGCTCTTGTGGCATCTTGGGGGCATCTTGGGGCGGAAAGGTCGAACCGTCGGTTCGGGTTCCCTTTGGGAGGCCCCACTTGGGGCTCTCTTGGGGCTCTCTTGGGCCGTCTGGGGCGCCTCTGGGGCCGTCTTGGGGCCGTCTTGGGGCCCTCTTGGGCTATCTTTGGGGCATCCGGGGTCGTCTTGGGGCGATCTTGGAGGCATCTTGGGCCGTCTTGAACGCCGTGAGGCCGAAAAGTCGTAGATGCTAGATCTGTCAGCTTGAGTTGGACGATGCTTGCTTCTCGGGGCCCTCTTGGGAGGCCTCTTGGGCCTCTCTTGGGGCGTCTTGGGCGCCTCTTCAGCCGTCTTCAGGCCATCTTGGGTGTCTTGGACCGATCGTTTGGCGATTTGGGGGCCCTCTTGCACCGTCTGGGGGCCTCTTGGGGAGCTCTTGGCCCGTCTCGGGGCCCCCTGGGGCCCGAAGAACTCATGCGACCATACCCGGGAGGCACGCGACAAGACCCGAGAGATTGGAGAATTTGGGGTCGCGGCACCTTGAGGAACCCTCAGTAATGAGGACTGAAGCTCGAGGGATTAGGCCAAGGACTCGAGGACACTCCAACTTGTGCATCAGGGTACGGTGGCGGATACTTGATGTGCTGACTCAGTGTAGTTGCCTTTTGTTTCATAGGGCTTGCGCGTGCCATCCATTTGCGCCCACAGTGTTCTGTGAGTATCACTGGCGTTGTGGTCGTCTTGTGACGCGATTTGCTTGTCGCTGCTTCCAGTATGGCGCGAAGACCTTGCTGATGCACATGGTCTTCCTCGTTCTGCGATTACGCCTGCTTCTGCATACCGAGAGGGACACCATGTTATTGAACGCGATTAATGTTGGAGGCCGTTGCGTATGACCTATTTGTGTGTTTAATACTATTTGTTTCGGCCGGTGGTCACTTCACACGAGTATGGACTTGTGTGTATATGTGTGTTCGGAGTTCCGCCAGTCTTGTTGCATGAGCATGGTCCAACCACCCCTCTCAGTGATGTGGCGGTGTAGCATTTGTTTGCGCAAGGCCTGGTCTCTGTGACATTGGCGTTGCATTTCGGATACAATATACTGTCCTGTCTGTCGGACTTCAGGGGGGGGGATCGTGCTGTCATGGGGAAAGGGGCTTGGATAGGCAGCGGATGAGATCATGGAATGAGACGCCATGATGTACCCTTCTATTGGTCGGGCTGCGTAGTTCCGATGATGAAAGAGGGCATGACAAAGCGCGTCAGTAATTCGCATGGTTCGCGCCTCGCTGGCTTTGAAAACTGCAGTGGTAGTCGCGCGTGCCAGGATACCGCATGCGAGCGCACCTTTGCAGCTACAACATAGGGACGAGATGCTATAGGATACGCGAGAGTGGGATGTGATATGGTTTCAGAACGGTGTTGCAGAGGGGGTTTTCGCTAGGGGCAGTATTCTGATAGCAGGAATCAGACCAACTCGATGCGCCCATGAGGCAGAACGCAGTCGTTTGTAACCTGCGCCCGAGGCCAACCTGAAAAGACAGCATTTCATCGTGTGCTTGCGCACTGCTGTGCTCCATACTGTAAATTGCGCAACAGATCTTGCGCCACGTAGCTTGTTTCCGCATATATTTCACCTTACACCACGTAGCTTGCACCACAAAGATGGCACCGCATAACTTGCACCACCTAGCGTGCATTTCATAGCTTGCAACGCATCGCGTGCACATAGCTTACACCACGTAGCTTGCACCGCATAGCTCGCACCACATGTAATGCACCACCTAGCTTTCACAACATAGTTTGCACGACATAGATTTCTCCACGTATCTTGCACCATATAGCGTGCAACTCATACACTGCAGGACATCAGCACACATGCACGGCGCACTAACTCGTTGTCTGGAGCCCACGCTGGCAGTTCTCGCTGTTGTGCTGAATGAAACGCCCTTCGCTGCATCAATTGGACCATGTCCTGGTGAAGCCACTGGTGCACGTTCACAAAGCCGTTCTCCCTTCCGCTGGAGGAGGAGGAGGAGGAGGAGGAGGAGCATGAGGATGAGGAGGATCTTTCTCCCAGGGGCGAAGGTTCACTTCATCTCTTCCGCGAAAGCCCGAGCAATTGCCGCGGGAACCACGGAGCATAACGCATCTGTGGTATCGTTTGCGGGTGCCGGCGGAGTCCCGTCTCACCTTTCCTCGTCCCCAGCGGTGCCCCCGCGTGCTGCGTTTTTCCCCGCCCCCGGCAGGATCCTTGAGTGTTTTCACCACCCACCAAACCACCCCAACCTAAGCCGAAGGCCCAACTTTACCCTCCATTTCCAGTGGGGGGGGGGTCGGTGAACATTGACAAAACACATATGGAACCCGACCCCCCCCAAACCCGAAATTGGGGTCTTCGGGTGAGGTTGGGGCGGGCTGGCAGGTAGCCATGTTTCAGGTCTACCAGTTTTGGCCCGATCCTTCACGGAGGCCCGCCGTGAGGCGCTCCGTCTGCGGACTTGTGGGTGCAGTGTTCGAGGGGAGCGAACGCAGCTGCCATATTCGAGGGCAACGTGGGAGTCCTCGCAGCAGCAGCCTGCACTTTTCGACGGGTCAGAAATTGGCAGGTTCCGCTATCTTTCGATTACGTTGCTGGGTTGCCTACTTGGTCGGTTGCTGCGTTGCCTCTGGAACTCTACTGCTAAATCGTCATCATGGTCGTCGTCCGCAAACTTGCTATGACAGGTTGCTTTGACAGGTTGGGCTGTGCCACTATCAGTATGACGTTTGCTTTGCCTCTGATATGCTTGCTCGGTGCGAATACCAGAAGTTTCAAATTACATTTCGAATAAGGGCGACTGCTGGGTTGCAGCAGGCGGACAAGCCATCCGCCTATGGATGGGAGATATAGGCGTGGATGTTGCAAAGCAGAGGTGCAAAAGAGGTTGGCGTCTGGAGGACCATTACGATGTGTTGTATTACGTTGGTGCAGCTGTGGTGGTAGCTATCATTACCGAGGTGGGGCGCAGCCTGGCTGTACGTAGATTGGCAGCAACAGCAGCAACGAGAGCAGTACGTAGGCAGTGCGTGTGGAGATGGGCCACGTGGATGTGATTGGAATTGCGCGAGGGTCATGCCTCAAGTGGTTGGTACAGTGGAGGCCCCGATACATAATGTCCATGCCGTACGCGCTACGTCGCAAGCACGCGAGACGATTCGAAGTTGGGCAGAATTTGCTTCAGTTTCCTTGTACGTTTCCGTTTGTATGTTTGTCCACCGTTTTGTTCATTGTCTTTTTCTGCACGTTGGGTCGGGTCCGCGCCGCTAGCTCCTTCTCTGGCCTGCAGCTACTGGCTGAGGCATGTCGCCGTCGGGTGGGGGGGGGAGGGGAGGATTCCTCACCTCTGGTTCCCACCTGCTGGAACTGAGTGCCCTCGGTCGTGCGTCCGAGCGCGTGGCTTCTTCCTGCCGTGGTTGCATCAGGGCTGGTCCTGCCGCGCAGAGTTTCGAGGATTCCACGCACGCGCAAGGACGACAGGTGAAAGGAATCTGTGCCCCGATGGCAGTGCTTTGAAAGTGGCGGTCCACCGACTGCCACCCAGGGCTTTTTTTTACGTAGGCATCTTGGTCGCGAAGAGTTGGGCCATGCACGCGTCAGTGAGACCAATGTGCTCTATGGTGTAACTGCATGCGTTCGCAAGTCTGTGTAGGTGCTGTGGTACTCTCACTGTCAATGTGTTCTGGCAGCCAGTGCAGTTGCACAGGGTGGTCGCATGCCGCCTTCATGTATGGTGCCCCACCACTCGCTTGCCCATGGAGTTGCATCCTTGAGCAGGAGCGCCAAGGATCCGGTGCGGTCGGGCTAACGCGGGCTGGGCAATTGCTAGTTACGCCCAGGCAGAAGATTCGGCCAGTGCTCAAGACAGGCAGTTGTCGCCTAATCTTCGTGGTGATGTGTGCTTTTGCCAGGTGGTCGGTGCCATAGTGGGCCAGGCCTTCGAGGTGGATAACCTGAGGTCGGGTGTGGGGTTTGCGAGTCATGGGCAGTATTCAGGACACGAGCGACGTACACGCCCACATCCTCTGAGTGTTATGTTTCCTCTATTGCTCCTCTTCCCCATCCTCCCACAGTACTGTTGTATATGTTGGGCCTCACGCGATGTCGGATCACATGATAGTTGCCGTTTTTTTTTTCTACGTATTCCAGACGTTTGTTTTACGACGAAGTCTATTGCTCTCCCTGGTTCGACAAAAAGGCTTCATGAGGGGCCATGAGGTCCCAGGAGTCCTCTTGGGGCCCAGCAGGATCCGAGAGGCCACTCACGGCCCCAGGCGGCCCCATGTGGGATGGTCTTGTATGGCATTGCGGTCTGGCACCGTGACGACACTAACTCAGGGCAGCCGTTTGGTGGTGGAGGTGATCGCGGGATCGCCTTGGGCGAGAGACGGGGGGCAAAGGCGGGGCGGGAGGAAGAGCGGGCGGGAGGAGTGGGTGAGGGCTCGTCGCCCTTGGCGTGCGAGGCGAGGAGGATGGGGACTGCGTCCATGATGGTTTCCTATCCATCTGCTCACGAATTCCCCAAGCCTCCTTGTGGTTTGGGCCCTCGATTTGGAAAGAGCACCTGTTGCTCACCTCATTCGTTTCCCCCTACTCCTTCCGCCCCCATCCAAGATCTCCTTCCTCTCCGTGCGCCTCCTGCTTTCTGCGTGCCCTCTTGTATGTGTTCCCTTCTCTCTCTCTCCTCGCCTGCCTGGGTGCTGCCAGGCTTGCACATGTCGTGGCTTTCCTGAGCCACTTGTGGTCCAGCGAAACGGTGACCCCCCAAGGGAGGACCATATTTGAACCGCCCTCCAAACGTGGACTGTGTGCACATCGGGCCACGCAAACTGATGGAGCGTCCCAAGCGAGGCAAGTCGTTGCCAAGGAACCACCCTCCATCTGTGGGCTGCTGCGCGAATTGGAGTTTCGGTGTGCAGTCGAGCCGAGGGCCTCTCGTTTGTGGGCCACTCTTTACATCTTCGTGGCCGAGGACCGCCGAGGCCTGAACAGCTCCTGCGGTCCTTACACTGCACCCCGATGGTAGCACGATGGTGGTACAAAGGAGTGGGGAACATTCATGCAACGTGCAGTTTTGAAGAGGAGCGAGTTTTCATCAGTTTGGGCTTTGGAGAAAAGCGGAAGACGAATTTGCGCGGCGTGCAGACGAGGGCCACAGTTCGGAAATTGCGTGTGGTCCGCCCGTGCAGTTTTACAACACGTGAAGACGAGCGTGCGCGGAGCCAAGGCGGTCGCCACATTTTGAAAGTGGCCTGTGCCTCATCCGTGTAAGTGTTGGGGCCTTGTAGGACGAATGCGCGCGGCGCCATGCCGAGAACCACACGATATGTGTGGTGTATGTCTGTAGCAAAACGCCCGATCCGCCCCACCGATCTTTCGATATGTTTGGTTGTGCGACGCGGAGGCGCCATCGTGCTTTTACAGGATTTGCCTTCCGCTGGAAAGTGCTCGCTTATAAAAGCCATCGCTCGCAGGGCAGGCTCGTGACGTAGCTGGACGCTTTAATACCACTCGTGTGCACGGCGCTCGAAGTAGCTAGATAGCTTCGCCTCTTCACGATCGCGCCACCGAGCTTTTCATCGTGCTGCTGTGTGCGCTCCCCTTTTCTCCCCTCCAACAGTTCGCTGACACAAAGAAAGTGAAGGTGTCACCGATCGGAGCGAGTGGTCCTTTTGTTTTTGGTATACTATATCTTTTCTTCCACGGTCAGATTCCACTGCCCCGGGCCACGTTCAGTCTCAACAAACCACGCCCCAGGGACGGAATTTCGTGTGCCAAACCCACGACCAGGACTCTCGCCCAGCCGCAGGGCTCTTTGAGTATGGTATGCCAAGATGTTCGGGCGGAATGGTTCCGTTCACGCGAATCCGTCTCAAATCGCACGCGTGTCCGCTGGTTCGGCTTTCCATCTTCACAGGCGCACTTCGCTGCCGAGCAGCCCGCTGCAGCCTCGGCCGCGACGACCCTCCCGCCGATGCGGACCAGGAGTGCCCGCTGCCTCGGCGCGAGCAGACATCGCCGCGTGTTTCAGCTGCCGCTGCCTGAGGCCGCACGCGCGCGCCCGAACTCTGCCGATTCTCAGCCGCCGGGGGTTCCTTCCCTCTCCCGATCGAAAGGACTATCAAGCCTGCTCGGATGCTGATGTGTTTTGTGTGCCAAGGGAAGGTAGCTTTCGCCCTCCAGGGGCTCTTCAGCCGAAATGGCACTGCACAGAAGCATCGGATGAAAGGTCGCTCGCATGTACAATTTTCTATGCTTATCCACCCGCTCTGGTGCGCCCGGTGTCCGGCGCGGCCCGTCGGCTCTGCAGGCGTGCTCGCGTCCGCGGGCGCCGCGAACACAAAAAGGTTGAGATGTCCTCGCCGCCTCCTCACTGCCGGCGGGGTGTGGCGCCTGGCGTGGCCCAGGGCCCGCCGCCGTGGGGCTCAGCGGTGCGCTGGTTTGGGGGGCTTGCGGCTTGCGCTGGAACTCATGGCTCAAACCTTTCGCTGGCGGTGGGCCTTCGAGTTCAAAGGTGATTCATGCGAGTAGGGGTGGGTCACTCCTATCCGCGTCCGCGAGGAGACGGGTGAGAAAGGGGGGGTGGAGGGAGGAGAGATGAGGGGGGGAGTGAGGAGAAGGAGGAGGAGGAGGAGGAGGAGGAGGAGGCGTCAATCGCGCACAGCTTGGCGCGAACGACGCTATGGTAAGTATGGGGGAGGAGTAGGAGGTCACGTGGAGCTTCCGAGGCTCTCCGTATTACCGCGCGAGCGCGGCATCGTCTCTGCATTGCCGCGCGAGACTCATGGCCGCGAGACCCCCCGCCACTTGGCATGACATGGGGACCAATCTTCATGACAGGCGGTGCTCTCCGTGCGGGGCCTTGCCTTAACACGTCGACCCAGCTATAAAGGAAGACACAGAGCGATGGGGTCGACAGTTCCAGTCACTTACAGTATTTCCTTAAGAGGTTGAAGGGCCAAACATTTCATGTCTCCCGAGCAAAACTATGCCGACACATCAAACTTCTACTTGAACCAAGCATGGACAGTTGTTGTGACGTTCTTGTCTTGCTCACGACGTCGGCCAGCGGAGCCCAGGGGAAAGGAACGTCCGAAGCCGACCCGCGGCTAGGTTCGAGAGCAGGCGCTGGCCGTTGGCCGTTGGCTCAGATTGCGGAGAGCCGCGCACCGTATCGCGTGTGCGATGCGCTACGCGCGGCTCGAACGCCAGACTCGGCGCTCGGCCTGCCAGTGGCAGCAGCTCTGCAGAGACGTCGCGCCTTCAAACCATTACGACAGAGAGTTGATTGAGGCTCGGCGCGGAGTGGTGCGTTTGACGGGTACATGCCCGAAGTGTGCTTATTCTTGTGAGCGAGAGCATGCAGCTCCGTGCTCTTCCTGTCACGACAGCTAGTTGAGGTCTGGCGTGATCCCTGCCCAAGTTGAGCAGTTCATCATGGCGACCGGGAACTTTGTAGAGGCGCCCCCCTGCATTGCACGCCCTTTTCTGCGCTACATCTCGCGGCACTGCGACGTTGGATGTGATGACCCCCGCCCCCCCTGTGGTAGGAATGACTGAAGCTTTGCGTCCAGGAAACGCGTGGGCAAGATTGCACGTATGGCAACCAGCGGTGAGAACAATCTATTCAGCTATGCGACAGACCTTGGCTGGTATCACCAGGCGGACAATAGGAGGGAAGGGGAGGAGGGTGGAGAGGGGGTGCAGACGAATGGCAATCGAAGACGCGCCGCGCGCCATAGCATGCATACGCTGTGTCCGCTGCTGTCTCGGACGACCCCGGTGTTGAAATGTGTACCACTTTTCGGGAACCTTGAGACAGGGGTCAACGCAAACGGGGGTCAGCCAGGGCGCCAGATCCTGCAGGATCCTGCGAAGGCCCCCTCTGGCTGACCCGGGTTAGCGAGCCGCTCGTGGCCGCGAGGCGGCCGCGCATATTGGCTGACCCGGGTTTGCGAAGACCTGCGTTGCAGTTTTTTTTTCTGCATTGCAGTTTTTGGTTTCCTGCTGACCCGGGTCTGGATTGACCCGGGTCAGAAGATCCCCGAACTTTGGGCTCAGGAGGGGGGGGGCTGGCTGGCCTGGCGGGCCGTTCCCCAGATCTGCGTGGGAACTTGCTCGTGGCCGAGGCCCGCCGCGGCCGGGAACGTCGCCCCGTTCCTTGCCCCGCGCCCCTCGCGGTAGCACGAGGCGCTCAAGAGGGCGCCGGCTCCTCCTCCGCCGCCTCCTCCTCCTCCGCCTTCTCCTCCTCCTCCTCCTCCTCCTCCTCCTCCTCCGCCTCCTCCGCCTCCTCCTCCTCCTCCTCCTCCTCCTCCTCCTCCTCCTCCTCCTCCTCCTCCTCCTCCTCCTCCTCCTCCTCCCCCTCCTCCTCCCCCTCCGCCTCCTCCCCCTCCCCCTCCCCCTTCCGCCTTCTCCTCCTCAGAGCTTGTGTCGTTTCGGATGCTCATGTTCGGACGACATTGCTCATTACATATTATGCCCACCGCTGTGGGCTGCGGCCTCCCCCCAAGCCACGTCATTCCTCCCCCCTGATCCCTGGGTTCGTCTCGGTCTGGGGGATGAGTCCGACTATGACAGCTTGGAGGGCGGTAGACATCGGGTCCATGAGACGGTGGCTGTCAACTTCCATATTTACCGCAAGCTGCGGGGTTCACTGCAGCCACAGACCGCCGCCTCGGCTGCGCAGCTCTCTCAGGCGCGCGCCGCCGCCAGGGCTGCTCTCTCATTGTAAGCACAGCACTGACCTCCCCAAGGTACGTGCGCTCCTCCTCCTCCTCCTCCCCCTCCTCCTCCTCCTCCCCCGCCTCCTCCCCCTCCGCCTCCTCCCCCTCCCCTCCCCCTTCCGCCTTCTCATCCTCCTCATCCTCCTCGTGCCCTCCTTGCTCGCACCCCTGCCTGCCTGGCCCCCAGGCGCCCCGCCAGGGCCTGCCACTCTCCCGCCGCACGAGCCCTCTGAGGAGGCCCGTTTCTTTTCACTTCCCCCCAAGCGCGCCGCCGAGCGCGGAGGACGTGGGCAGGGGGGCCTCCGCCCCGCGGACTGCCTGGGGCGCGCCACTGGCGCAGAACGCACAAGCTTCCGTGGCGACGCGGGGGCGGTGCGCGGTCGAGGCGCTGAGGGGACGGACCGCTCTTGGCTCAGGATGGGCTCTCAATCTCGGGCTGGTCTTCAGACCTAGGTCAGGAGACCAATAGCCTTTCAACTGGAGGCCGTTCCTCAGATGCAGGTCGGGCCTATGCATGTCAGAAGCCCGCCACGGCCAGACAAGCTCTGATGTGCTCCTGATGGTACAACGGTGCCGCTGTCCTTCACCACGGCAGAAGAGAACACACTGTACAACGGGCCCGCGGGCACACTCCGCCAGCCCGTGCGGAGAAATCACTGCGGTCCACTCGGAGGTGGGGGTCGTGCTTCGGGTCCGCAGCGCCTGCCTGCCCCTCCTCCACCTCCTCCTCGGCTCGCGCTGCGCGCGCGCGCCAGTAGCGGCACCGGGCTTTCCGTTTTCATCAAGTGGTTAATGCCCCACTGTTCAATGTCCAGCTGCCTGCGGCAAAACCCGCCACCGTGCGTGCCTGTGCAAGAGCGTTGCAGAACGGAGACGGAGTGTAGGAACACCGCAAGTTCGACGAGTGGTCTGATAGGGATGGGTCGTGAGCTCGACATCGTCGTCGTCGTCCGCGCGGTAGGAATGAGGTCGCGCCCACACCCCGCGGCAGTTCAGCGAGGGGTCTGAACTGGGGGCGGTCCTGATGCCGACATCGTCTTCGTCTGCGCGGTACGAAGGGGGAGGAGGAGGAGGAGGAGGAGGAGGAGGAGGAGGAGGAGGAGGAGGAGGGGAGGAGGAGGAGGAGGAGGGGGAGGGGGAACAATAATAATATCAATAAGACGAAGAAGACAAAGAGTACCAATACGTATGAACATAAGAACAATAATACCAATACTATTAATACTACTACTTCTACGAATAATAATAACTAATAATATTAATATTAAAAATAATAAAATAATAGTAATGATAAATAATGATAGTAATAATAATGATATAATAATAATACTAATAATAACACCAATAATAATAATAACAATAATAATAATACTAATACTAATACTAATACTACTAATAATAATAATAATACTAATAATACTAATAATAATAGTAGTAATAATAATAATAATATAAGACGAAGAAGAAGAATAATAATAATAATAAGAAGAAGAAGAAGACGAAGAAGAAGAAGAAGAAGAAGAGGAAAAGGAGGAGGAGGAGAGGGAACAACGAACACGAGGAGGAGACAGCTCGTAGAGGCCCTCTTGAGGCATCCTGGGGGCCTCCTGGGAGACTCCTGTTGGGCCTCTTGGGTGCCTCCTTGGGGCCTCCTGGGCCTCTTGGAGGCCTCTCTGGGGCGTCTTGGGCCGTCTTCGAGAGGCGATCCGCCCGTCTGTCGCCGTCGGGTGCCGTCATGTGGGCCTCTCTGAGGCGTCTTGGCGCCCTCTTGGAGCGCTTTATGGCCGTCTTGGGACTTCTTGGGAGCCTTTTGGGCGATCTGGGGGTCCTGTTGAACTGACTCGGGGCCTTCCTTGGGAACTCACTGTCCGTCTTCGAGCTATCCTGGAAGCCCCTTGGGCCGTCTTGGGCGATCGGAAACCCAAATCTGCAAGAACTTCAGCATGTGTCAAAACCTTTTTGTAGTATCAATGATTTGGGTATCCTCGGGCTCTCCTGGAGGGCCCCTTCGAGCACTGTAGGCCATCTTGGCCGTTCGGAGGCCGCGAAGACCACCGGAAAACAGTTTCGGAGGGGGCGGTTCCTCAAGCACGCGCGCGGCGATGGGCGGGGGCGGGTCTAGAGAGTTAACAAGAACCTCCCCGACAACAGACGAGCATTCTGACACGCCAGCTCCGTGCAGGCACTGTGGTAGGCCTTTCCGAGCCTCCCGCCCCGCGGAGCGCAGCGACACGCTCTCCGCTCGCAAGGCATGGCATGTCGCCCGGGGCGCTGCCCCGAAGCGCGAAGCAGGAGTTCCCGACCGTAGAATCCCAGAGCTCCGACGCACGGGCCCTCAAAGTCTCGAGCGGCTGTCGTCCCAGCTCCATCTTCGGTTGCCCCGGTTCGGGTGGTGCTAATTCGACGTGCCCTTGGCCCAGGGTGCCCCCAGCTTCTCGCTCCAGCTTGGAACCCCTGGGGCCCCCTGGGCCTCGAGAGGCGTACAGTCGGGCCGCTGAAGAAGGAGCCTTTCTCGTTTGGGAGGGGCTCCGTGTTCCTTAGTTGTTTTACAGTGCTCCATGGGTTTTCCTGAGGTCGTCCATGGAACATCAGAGTTTCACTGATGGGAAGAAGGGGCCTCGTTCCTGATGTGTCGTTCCGTAGGTCGGCGCCCCGACTGTACTCTGGAGGCCGTGAGGGCTTCCCTGGAAATCCTGGGGGCACCTGAGGCCAGGGGCACTCCCGGCAGCACCAGACAGTATGGTGCCCCGAGAGCGCGCCCGCGGCGGCCGAGCCCCAGGAGCAGCCGCCGGGCTGGAGCGGCCCTGGCGGCGGCGGAGAGCCGTCGACGCCCCGGGGCCTCGAACTCCGACGGACGCCGCCGCGGACCTGCCCGATCGGTGGACCGCCTCTGGTCGCAGGCCCAGAGGTGGACACCAACACCAACATCGGCGGTGTGCCTCCACCGGCGGGAGAGGATCCCGATCTCGGTGATGGTGGTGATATTCTGGCTTCCAAGGTGACCGAGCTATGACCACCAACACCGGAATCTAGGATCATCTTCGCCCTGTGGAGGCAACCCCTTGTGTCGGTGTTGGTGCCCATTTCCAGGCCTCCAATCTGGGTTCCATAAGGGGAGCGAAGAGTGCGGCATCATCATAAGAGCTCGGAGGTCCGCGCGGATTTCTCGGATCCGCGCTGGACCCCCTGGCGGCGCCTCCGGCGCCGCCACTGGCGAGGGGGTCCGGCGCCTTTCCGAGAAATCCGCTCCTCGTTGCCCTACTTATGGACGCCGCCGCGTTCGGCCGTCCTCCGCGCGCGCGCGCCGTCGGCGGTTCTGGAGCGGTCGGCGACGGCCGTCTCGCCGGCCCGCCTTGGGGGGCCTCTCCCCCTCCCCCTCGCGGCTGCGAATGGCGGGGGAGGAGGCGGCGGAGGAGGCGGCCGAGGACCGGGGGAGGACAAAACCAAAACACGAACAGAGCCTTTCGGAGGTCCGCGCGGCTCCCTTGGATCGGCGCTGGGCCCTCCCTGGCGGCGCCTCCAGCGCCACCCCTGGCGCGCTCTGCGTGCCTGGGAGGGTGGGTCCAGCGCCGACCTTAGAAATCCGCGCGGACTTCTGACAGCTTACAGTCGACACTGACAGTAAGGATGATCGACTTCCCAAGGGTACCCTTGCATCCTTGCCTCTTCGGTCATGTTCGTTCCATCCTCAGCCACTCTCGATGGCCGGCCCCGCTCGACGTCCTTACCGTGCATCCCTGTGATTCATGTTGACTGTGTGCTTCGGTATTGTTTGCTGTCCCCCCCGAGGCGGCGGAGGAGGCTGACGCTGCGCGATCGCAGCCCTCGGCGCCCGGGGGGGGCGGCCACTGTCCTCCCGCACCACTCCCGTCTGGGCCCGTCCTCGGCCCAGGGCGGGCCCGCGCTGGAGCGACGCAGCATTTGTTTGATCTGCAGGGGCCGCTGCCCGTCGCCCTTGCCGCCTCCTCCTCCTCCTCCTCCTCCTCCTCCTCCTCCTCCTCCTCCTCCTCCTCCTCCTCCTCCTCCTCCTTCTCCTCCTCCTGCTCCCCCTCTTCCTCCTCCTCTTCCTCCTCCTACTCGCCCTCATCGCCGTGGTGAGGCGCATCTGGCGGGACGCGGGGCGAGAGCGAGCCTCTTCCGCTAAGAGCTCCGCGGGGCGCGCGCGGCTTCGATTGACAGAGAGGGGGGCGAGGGCGAGCGACGCAGCAAGACGGGGTCGCCTTTGCCGACGTTGGCGCGTAAGCTGCCCGCGTAAGGTCGCGCGCAGGCGCCCTCGTCTCCGATGTGGCGTGCCGCGCCAGCGGCCCGCGTAAGCTGCGGCGTAAGGTCGCCATGCCATCTCGCGTAAGACCCGTTTCTTTTCATCGCTCACGTGCCTTCTTGGCAAGGCCTGGAGCAGATCGTTCCCACAAAGACCTCCCAGGAGTTGCCTCTTGAGGGCGGGCTCGGAGTGGGATGCAACAATCCCCAATTGCCCATTCATCCCCGACATGCGTCTGATAGCCCACTCCACCCAGGAACGTGCGGTTTCCCAATCGGGGGCCTTCTACCAATCTATCAGCGATGTATCGCCGATTCCAGCTCGATATCTCTCATTTCCCCGCCTTGAGTCGGTCCCCCCCAGAAGGCCATCGGCGCGGCGCTAGTATATCCGTGCGAGAAACCCAGCCTATTCTGTTATAATTCTTTGTAACCTTGCTTAGTCCAGCGATTCGGTCGGGCTTCATCTTGGCCTCAACCTAAGCCAATCCAGCCATGGCCCCTCAAGCGGCCCTGCAACAGCCCCACGCCGTTCCCACGGAGATTCCCGAGGAAGTCGCCTCCAAAGAGAATCCGTAACGTCCACTACTGAGGATCGCCCCCCCCCCTCCCCCCCCCGTCCTCCCCCCCCCCCCGTAACGAGGGGGGAGGAGAACGAGGAGGAGGAGGAGGAACGAAGGACATGGAGGAGGAGGAGGAGGAGGAGGAGGAGGAGGAGGAGGAGGAGGAGGAGGAGGAGGCAGGAGGAGGGGGGGGGCGGCGGTTCCCCCACCGGCATGGCGCGGTGCTCACGGGCATGCTGTGGCGCCGACGTGCGTGACTTCGGTGCTCGCAGGCATGCTGTGGCGCTCGCGGGCCCGTCCGCGTCCCTCCCTCCCCCCCCGTAATGGCCGTTACGGGAGGGGGAAACAAAGGATTGCCACGCGACGTAGCCGACCCATCTACAACGATTGACCCGAGCGGTTGGACACAGTCATTGCGGATCATGGCGTGACAAGGACTGACATGTGTCGTGAGAGCGACATGGGGGGGGGGGCTCACGCGCCGCGGAACTCACAGGACACCAGGAGGAGGGAGAAGGCGGCATGGGCGGAGGCATGCCGGAGGCCCGATTGGCAAAGGGGCGGAGCGAAACGGACAGGGACGATCAGGGGAGGGCGATATGTCGCCGAAGCAGCAGCAGTAGCAGAAGCAAGGGCAAGGAGGGACCGGACGACGACCAAGGAGGAAGGAGGAAGGGCGGAGCAACGTTTCAACTCTCACACGTGTGCAGCGGCATCCCGAGAACAGCTGTTTATAGAGGCCGTGCAAGAGCTGAGCGAGGCCGAGCTGCACTGCCAGCTGTTTGGCCTGTTTCCTGCACTGGCGTTGAACGCGCCCAGTGCGCCACCGGGTGCGCGGGCGGCCCGCGGGAAAGGAACGCTTGGCCCGGGTCTCGCGTCATCAGGAGATGAGCTACCACCGCTGCCATGGAGAACGTGGCATGAAGATGCAACTGCATGGAGTCCAATTTGTCCGCGTCCTTGCGCAGTGCGTATTTCGAACGAGCTCGAGGTCTGCGGATCCCTTTCCCCTGCCTCTCTCCCCCCAACCAACCTTCGAAAGGTGCGTAAGTTTTGCAGGTCAGCCCCCCACGAGGGATGGTGAGGTCTAGTCAGAGTCTACGTCAAGACGCCATTCCGCTGATCCAGCCAGCAGTCCCCGGCAGTGGCGACCATTTCGCAGTTCGCCTCTCCCCAGGGATTGCGACGTCCAGTTTGAATATATGGGAAGACGTCACTCCGCTGACCCTCCCAGCAGCTTTCGAAAGTGGCGACGCGTTTGCAGTTCGCAGACCCTCCCCCCCCGGAATGGAGGCCTAGCCTGGTTCTGCGATAGGACGTCACTCCGCTGACGTTCCCAGCAGGCCTCGAAAGTGGCAGCGTTTTTGCAGTTCGCAGCCCCCCCAGGGATGGCGAGGTCCAGTTTGAATCTGCGATAAGACGTCACTCCGCTGACTCCCTCAGCAGCCTTCGAAATTGGCGACGCTTTCGCAATCCACATGCTCTCTATGGGATGACCAGGTCTAGTTTGAATATACGGTAAGACGTCATTCCGTTCGGTCCTCAGCAGCCCTCGAAATTGGTGACAGATTTGCAGTTCAAACACCTCGGGCACCCCCCCAGCCATCGCGAGATTACAGTAAGACGTCGCTCCGCTAACCTCCCCAGCAGCCCTTGAAATTGGTGACAGTTCGCACTTCGCACCTTTCCCAGGGATGGAGGGATGGCGAGGTCTACTATGACTCCGCGGTAATCGTCACTGTGTTGCCCCCCCCCCCCGCCGCCAGTAGCAGCCATCGAAAGTGGCGACATGTTTGCAGCTCGCAGCCCCCCAGGGATGGCCAGGTTTAGTCCGAAGCTGCAGTAATGCGTCATTGCGCTGGCCCCCCAGCAACCCTCGAAAGTGGCGACCGTTTGGCAGCTCGCAGCCTCCTCCAGGGCTGGCGAAGTGTAGTCGGAATCTGCGGTTGATGAGGTCTATCTGAATCTGCGGTAATGCGTCATTGTGCGACCCTCCCGGCAGCCGTCGAAAGTTGCGACATTTTTGCAGCTCGCAGCCCCCCAGGGATGGCGAGTGTAGTCTGAACTTGCGGTAAGGTGTCACTGCGGCGCTGCTGGCCTTCCAAGCACCCCTCGAAAGTGGTGACAGTTTCGCATTGAGTTGTCGTCAGGATGGCAAGGTCCAGTCTGAATCAACACCGCCATCGGAAAGTGACGACGTCCCCACCTAGTCTGAATGTGTCAGCGACAAGGAAGACATCAATGTGCTGGCCTCCCCCCCCCAGCAGGCCTCGAAAGTGGCGACAGTTTCGCAGTTCGAGTCCCCCGAGGGCCGAAGAGGCAGTAGGAAACGAGGAGGCGAGGGGAACAAAGTGGATGGGAGGAGAAGGTTATGATGTTCCAACTTACCTTAGCCTTGTTCACCAAAAAGAATTTCGTGCACCAAGAAGGTACCGACACTTGAAGGTTTTCACGTGTCGGGCCCTGGGAGGCGATACTCGTCCGACATTGTTTCGATACTGCTCTGGGTGCTCGAAATTATGTTTAAGATGTGGTCATAAGTACGATGTGAGCAACATGGGGAGAAGGGAAAGGAAGTGGAGACCGCGATCCTCTGTTCAAAACAAGACCCCAACGGAGGACTGGAAACAATGTCCTGTCCGGCCCTGGCCTTTGAAGAGGTCCTGACAGCCCCCTCGCGGTTCCCGTGAAAACCCCCGAGGAGGTGCTTCGCAATGGGATCGGGTCACGACGCAACCCCTGGCACCGGCGCTGGTATGGTCCGTCCAGGATTGCAGGCGCGGCGCGGGTGGACAGCCGCCACCCTCTCCGAAGGCATCCCCGACCAGGGACGGGCTGCGGCCGTTGCGGCCGCTGGGGGCGCAGCCCGTGTCGGCGGCCTCGCTGCTGCTGGGCGGCAAGGCCCCGGGGCCGTCGGCGTGAGCGCGGACGGGGAGGGGGAGGGGGAGGGGGGGGGGCGCAGGGGCTAGGGGAAGGGGCGGGGAGGAGAGGGAGAGGGGAGGGAATGGGGGGGGAGACGGGGGGAGGGAGGGGAAGGAAGGATCAGAGGCGGAGGAGGAGAGGCAGTTTCTTCGCTACCAGCAGGAGGTAAGGTGGAGGCGAATGGGACCGCACAACTCTGCCGCCAGGCAGCACCGTCCACCCACACCTCCGCCAGGCAGCAGGGAGGCACAGGCGGGCGATCCAAGAGGAGGGGCAACAAAGAATTGGGGGCCCGAGGGAGAGTTCGGGATAGCATCGACAAGCCCGAGTAAAGACATGCCCCCGCTTCGGACATCCGTGTCCCTGACGAGCACGGAGCAGTCGGTGGTGGGGAGGGGGGCCGGCCCCCAAAGGCGCAGCCGCAGCGGTTCGTGTTAAGGTGGGGGGCGTCCAGCGTGCCAGAGCGCACAGGCACAGGGGGAATGTCGCTGACAGGCGCAGTCGGTGGGTTTAGAGGGCCTCGGCCCTCGGCCCCCTTCCGGTGCTCATCGATGGCCTGTTTGTAGGTGCAGTCCTGCGGGCGGGAGCCCAGGCAGCCCCTCTGATGGAAGCTGCGCGGGGTGCGAGGCCCAGTGGCGGCCCTCACGGGGACGGGAGGGGGAGGAGGGGGCAGGGGAGGGGGGGGCAGGGGCAGGCGAGGGAGATCGCAACAGGGGCGGGGATCCTCCCAAGAAGAAGCCCCGCTGCCTTCTGAGACGCCCCCCCCCATTCGCCTGGCCCTCAACGATAGGGGGGGAATAGGCTCAGGGGCACCGCATCGACCCTCAAATAGCCTACGCCGCCCAGGAACGTGCGCTTTCGCCATCGGGCCATATCGCCGACCTATCGGCGATGTACGGCCGATTCCAGGTCACGGTTTGCCCTCGATCGTTCCCCCTCACTCGTGCGCTCCGCCAGACCTCGGTGGACAGATCGATCTTTCAATCCGCAGGCCCTTTTCGACCCCGTCCTCCAGGACAGTTTCAGATCCGGGCGTTGTTTCCGACTGCCTTTGGGGCCCGACAGCAGCTTTTGGAGGCCGAAGCGGTGGAGAAGCAGCCGGAGGGAAACACATTCCGTCCGACAAGAGTCTGGGGATGACGGTTGGGACGACGATGCGTCTGCGTCGGCGCAGACCCCCGAATCCGGTCGAGACGGACCCCTGGGCCCCTTCCCATGGCCCAGCCTGGCAATGTTTGTTCGAGCCGCGCCCAGCCGCGGCGACGAGAATCCCCGGCGCGGTCCTGGCCCGACGATGGCCTCTGCGACGACCGCTCGCTGCGACAGCGCAGGCCCCCCGCGACAGCGCCCTCCCCCCCTTCGCCGCAGGCAGCCGGGCAGCGGCCTGCCTCGATCGCGGCCCCGCTGTCCGCCGGCCCCCTGGAGGAGGACGCGGCGGCCGTGCCGTCGCCGCCGCCTCCCCCTTCTCAGAGCGTGAATTAACCCCAGGAAGCGTTTAAGAACCCCCCCCCCCTCCGGCAAATCGATAACCCTTCCGCACCATCATCCATATCCGCATCATCATCATCATCATCATCATCATCATCATCATCATCATCATCATCATCATCATCATCATCATCATCATCATCATCATCATCATCATCATCATCATCATCATCATCATCATCATCATCATCATCATCATCATCATCATCATCATCATCATCATCATCATCATCATCATCGTGTCCGGGTGCTACAGCTATCGTTCGGTTATTTCGGCCCTTCGGAATATCGAAACAAAAAAATGCGGTGCTACGATATCGCCGGGGGGGTTCTTAAATGCTTCCTGGGGTTACCTACCCCGCTTTCGCTTCCAGGAAAAACCGCGTCATACCACGCGCCTCCTCGTCGAGCGACCTGACCAGTACAGGCCGTGGTTTGGCATCGCCTGGTATCTCCTGGAAGCGAGGGTGGTCAAAGCGAGGCAGGTTTGGTTTCCCCCTACCTTCGTCCATCGGTACCAGAATCGTTGGGATACTTTTTTCCCAAGCGACGACGCCGTCGCCGCCGACGGCCGCCTCCGACCGCCGCCGAAGGCCGACGACGGGTCGCCGCCGATGGCGCCGCCGAAGGGCTGCCGAAGGCGCCGCCGAAGGCGCCGACAGAGGCGCTGCCGAAGGGCGTCGCCGAAAGGCCGAAGGGCCGCGCAAGGCCGCCGAGAGGCTGCAGAAATGGGTGCGGAAAGACTGGGGACGGAGACCGACAGCAATGTTGGCCCGTTCTGAACAGGACTGGCTGTCGGCGTAGCCGCAGGCGTTGTCCGCTTGAGGCAAAAAGTCGCCCGCACAACAGCGGCCGCGGTCTGCTCTGTGCAACGCTTGCTGTCGGGTATCATTCCCATTGTTCCGCACCCTTTTCGGGCGCACATCACCTGCCCGGCGCTTGCGCCTCCCAGCTCGCTGTCGGGCACGGTGCTCTCGCAGGGGCGGCGCCCGAAGTGTCACCGGGGCGCGCGCCCCTCCCCGTCCAGCGCCTTCCTTCTCTTCGACATGCTGTCGGGGCTCCTTGGCCCGCAGCGGGAGGGCGGGCGGACGCAGGCCCGCCCGCGCATCGCAAGAGCAGCAGCGTGACCCCGACGTGATTCGCCCAGGCCCAGCGCGGGCAGCACGGAGGGCACGGGGCCGATAGCCCCAGGGAGGCGAGAGATCGGGACTGCGGCCAGTCTCCCGAGGGGGAAGGCGAGCTCCTTCCTCCCGCTGCTCCAGCTCCTGCCGTTCGCTGAGCAGGCGCGGCTGCCGATGGAAGAGTGGGGGCAGTGTCGGACGGGCCTCGAATCGACGTAAATCCTTCCAGAGCGTTCGGGAACGATCTTGAAGCGGCCGCGGCGACCGAGACATGCTCCAAACCCGCCGACTCTCAGAGACTTACAATGTATATCGGTCCGATGAGACATCCCCAAACCCGCCGACTCTCAGAGATTTGCAATGTATGTCGGTCTAACGTTGTCTCGATTCTGCTCTCGTCTGAGGCAGTGAGTCGATGATCCTCATGACATGTGTTTGCACAATGTGCGTTTACCCCGTTTAGCGCTGTCGATGGCACGCCGTCCGTGTTGGCCTTCATGAAATACGCCGACTGCGCCAAATTGTGTTTGTCCACCGGATCCCTCCAAATCGGCGCAGCCGGTGTATTTCATGAAGGCCAACACGGGCTGTGTGCTACCGACAGCGCTAAACGGGGCAAACACACATTGTTCAGAGCTTGAATTACCTACCCCGCTTTCGCTTCCAGGCAAAACCAAGTCATACCATACGCCTCCTCGTCAAGCGGCCTGACCAGTACAGGCTGCAATTTGGCATCGTTTGGTATCTCTTGGAAGCGAGGGTGGTCAAAAGCGAGGTAGGTTAGTTTTCCCCCTAATTGTGCAAACACATGTCATGATGAGCATCGAGCGAGGCTGCCCGGTGCGCACGCCCCCGCCGTGGGGATGGGGCCCCGCCGCGGCGGCGCTGCCGGGCCGGCCTGCAGCCGCGGCCACCGGCCGCCCGCGCGGGGCGCGCCCTGTGCTCCTGCATCGCGTTTTGGCTCGCCGTCGCTGGGCGGAGCACGCCTCCTCCTCCTCCTCCTCCTCCTCCTCCTCCTCCTCCTGCTCCTCCTCCTCCTCCTCCTCCTCCTCCTCCTCCTCCTCCTCCTCCTCCTCCTCCTCCCAGCCCCCCTCCCAGACCCCCTCGGGCAATGAAGAATCACGACGGACGGGTGTTCCCGATTTTCGGCCCTCCCAGACCCCCTCGGGCAAGGAAGAATCACGACGGACGGGTTTTCCCCATTTTCGGCCCTCCCAGACCCCCTCGGGCAATGAAGAATCACGACGGACGGCTTTTCCCCATTTTCGGCCCTCCCAGACCCCCTCGGGCAATGAAAAAATCACGACGGACGGGTTTTCCCAATTTTCGGCCTCTAGGGGACCTCGCCGGGCCTCGGGACCGTCAAAAAAGGACTCAGGATGAAAGACCGGTCCTGGGAATGGGTCGAGACCTCTGGGGGTGGACGTTGTGACAAAAATCATGACGTCGGGGGTCTGGGCTCGTGGCATACAGTCGAGACCCACACCAAGAAACACCCTGTTTGCCTCCAGGGTGCCCTGGGTTTCTTGGGTGTCGATGGTTTTGCTGTGGCAAGCGTGACGTTCCCACACCAGAAATCCATAGGCGTCCGGATGTCTCAGGGCTGGGTTTCTTGTGGAAGGTTTCTTGTGGACTGGCCTCCACTGTACGC